GTCCCAGCTTAATCGGGGGACTGAGCAGGGAATTTTTGGCGTGAATCCAGGAAGAGACTTGAAGTGAGCGGAGATTAACGCCACTTGCACCTCCAGCCTGAGACAACAGAGCAAGACTCTGTTCTCAAAAAAAAAATAAAAAATAAAGTCGGACTACATCTCCCCACCCGTCAAGGAGGTGGGATCTCACTGTTGGGTCCACTGGGAAGTTGCCTACACGGGAGTCAGGGTCATGCCAAATACACCCTTTCCAGCCGTTGGGGTATGGCATCAGAAAAGACAAACTAGGGCCAGGTACAGTGGCTCATACCTGTAATCCCAACAATTTGGGAGGCCGTGGCAGAAGGATCACTTGAGCCCAGGAGTTTGAGACCAGCCTGGGCAACATAGCAAGACCCCACCTCTACAAATAATTAGCCAAGTGTGGTGGTGTGCACCTGTAGTCCCAGCTACTCAAGAGGCTGAGGCAGGAGAATCACAGGAGGTCGAGGCTGTAGTGAGCTGTGATGGCACTGCACTCCAGCCTTAGCAAGAGTGAGACCTTGTCTCTAAAAAGCAAAAAGGGCTGGGTGCACTGGCTCACACCTGTAATTCCTGTACTTTGGGAGGCCAAGACGGGTGGATCACCTGAGGTCAGGAGTTCAAGACCAGGCCTGGCCAACATGGTGATGCCCCGTCTTCAATTAGCCAGGTGTGGTGGAAGACGCCTGTAATCCCAGCTACTCGAGAGGCTGAGGCATGAGAATCGCTTGAACCCGGGAGGCAGAGGTTGCAGTGAGCCGAGATCATGCCACTGCACTCCAGCCTGGGCAACAGAGCGAGACTGGGTGGCTGTTCTGCGTACTGTAGGATATTGAGCAGCATCCCTGGCCTCCCCAGTATCTCAAATATGAAAACATGGTTTATATCTCGATTACTGAGCTTTTCAGTGTCTCCTTCGGTTCTGCACCTAAGCTGAGAGCCCCTTCCTCTCAGCCTGATCTCTACCCAGTTGCTAACAAGCCGTCTTGTAAGATGCCCGGACTGAAACAGTGTTGGCCTGTGGAAGGGGTGAAGGCGGCTTTCATCTCTAAAACGTCTGAACTTCTGCATGGCCTGTTGCCCTGGTGATGAACTAAAAGGAAGAAATCCAGGAGTTGCCTTTGTTCAGCTCATGGGCATTCACCCATGCACAGAGGAAAAAGTAAAACCTACGACTCAAGTACATTTTCTTTTTTTTTTTTTTTTTAGTGAGCAAGTTTGAGAGTCTGCAGTTTGGACTACCATGAGAATTGATAGGAAGGTGGGAGCCCCAGGCAATCCCAGGTCCTGTAGCAGCAGCTGGTGGGGTTCCCACTCCATGCCGTGCACAGCCTGAACTCGGGATGACACCTGCACCTGCTTTCTGGCCTGGCTCTGGCACAGGAAGCCCTCAGCAAACGCCCCTGGCAAGGGCTGTGCACAGCCACAGTGAACAGACAACAGCTCGCTGCACCACACTGTCACGGGAGACAGCGGTTATTCTGAAGAAACCGTTGAAGAAACCAAGGCTCAGAGAAGACCCCTGCATGCACAAGGTCCCACAGGTACCCAAGAATCCGTGTCAGACAGCTTGCCCATGCTCTTTGCGGAGCACCTTGGAGCCCTCCCCCACAGGCACCACTGGCTCTCCTGACATGGCCCACAAGTACATGGAGCCTGTGCCTCCTCGGCCATTGCCAGTTTAGATTCCCAGGGGAAGCATCAGATGGCCCCGCTCCCGTGCTGGCAGCAGAGCACATGGGATCAGCCGGAGCCCAGTGGTCACCCGCAGGCCAGTCCACTGCGGCCAGCACCGCCCCCTAGAGGATGCTGCGGGCATGGGGGCCGGCAGTCCTGGGTCTCCCAGCTCAGGTGGTGCCAGGAAGCTGCGGGCATGGGGGCCGGCAGTTCTCAGTCTCCCAGCTCAGGTGGTGCCAGAACGCCCCCTAGAGGAAGCTGCGGGCATGGGGGCCGGCGGTTCTCAGTCTCCCGGCTCAGGTGGTGCCAACACCACCCCCTAGAGGAAGCTGCGGGCATGGGGGCTGGCAGTTCTCAGTCTCCCGGCTCAGGTGGTGCCAGCACCACCCCCTAGAGGAAGCTGCGGGCATGGGGGCCGGCAGTCCTGGGTCTCCCAGCTCAAGTGGTGCCAACACCGCCCCCTAGAGGAAGCTGCGGGCATGGGGGCCGGCAGTCCTGCGTCTCCCGGCTCAGGTGGTACCAACACCACCCCCTAAAGGAAGCTGCGGGTATGGGGGCCAGCGGTTCTCAGTCTCCTGGCTCAGGTGGTGCCAGCATCACCCCCTAGAGGAAGCTGCGGGCATGGGGGCTGGCAGTTCTCAGTCTCCTGGCTCAGGTGGTGCCAGCACCACCCCCTAGAGGATGCTGCGGGCATGGGGGCCGGCAGTCCTGGGTCTCTCAGCTCAGGTGGTGCCAACACCGCCCCCTAGAGGATGCTGAAGGCATGGGGCCGGCAGTCCTGGGTCTCTCAAGCTCAGGTGGTGCCAGCACCGCCCCCTAGAGGAAGCTGCGGGCATGGGGCCGGCAGTCCTGGGTCTCCCAGCTCAGGTGGTGCCAGGAAGCTGCGGGCATGGCAGACAGCGGCCCTCGGTCTTGCGGCTCCATCCTGGCTTTCAAATCTGCTCCAGAAGTTATCTGGGAAGGGGCTGCTGCCTCACAGAGGGAGCCTCTAAGCCCACCAGGCGGGCGCTTTCAGCCCAAAGCCTCCGGGCCACCTCCTCATCCTCAGCCTCGGGGGCCGGGGCCTTCTGGTTTGAGTCCATCGAAGTACTTTCCGGAAACATCTGCCAGTTCTCTGCCACGGCCAGGTATGTGCTGGCGGGCGGCCAGCTCGGGGCCCTTGACCAACAGCCAGAAGATGGGCCCTGCAATCAGCCCACAGGGCGCTCAGTCCAACACACGCTCAGAGAAGCGAGGAAGCCACAGGGCACTCGGTCCACACACGCTCAAGAATCAGCCCACAGGGCACTCGGTCCACACAGCTCAGAGAAGCGAGGGAAGCCCCACCCCCCGTCAGGGGAGCTCTGGCCGCCTGGAGTCCACAGAGCCCTCCTCCAGGCCCTTCCCTTGGCTCCTCCATCTGCAGTTCCCAATTCCTGGCAACTGCCCAGGCTAATGCTTCCAGACCAGGGGATCAGGACCAGAAAGCTGGCCTTCCCCCAGGAAGCCCTCCTGGCTTTGTCCAGCGAAAATCGGAAGCTCTCCTTCCTCTTTGATTTAGCCCCAAGTCCTCACCCTACCCCATTTTCCTTAAATACACTTCTTACTTATTAAATGTCACCCTAGCACCCAGCCTCAGGTTAGAATTTTTTTTTTTTGGCATGCATGCCAGGCGAGTGCGCTCAGGCCATGTAATGCACAAGCACACATGGGAGGCCCGAGGCAGCGGGATCGCCCTGGGTCAGGACCTTCCAGGACCAGCCTCCCCAACATGAAAATATAGTTACCCATTTCTACTAAAAAATACAAAACTTAAGCCAGGCATGGTGGTGGTTGCCTGTAATCCTCCAGGCTGCTTGGAGGGCTGAAGGCAGGAGAAATCCTTGGAACCACAGGGAGCGGGAGGTTGCCAGTGAGCCAAAGGATCGCACCATTGCACCCCAGCCTGGGTTGAACAAGAGCAAAACTCCATCTCAAAAAAAATAATTATTAATATATATTTTTTTTTTTATTTTTTTTGGAGACCTGGCTGTTCTCACTTGGCAACCCAGGCTGGAATAAGGTGCATGATCCTCCAGTTCACGGTAACCTCTGCAATCCCAGGTTTCGAAGCAATTCTCCTGCCTCAGCCTCCCGAGTCAACTGGGACTTCAGGCACGCCCGCCACCACGCCTGGCTAATTTTTTTTTTTTTTTTGAGGGACAGAGTTTTGCTCTTGGTTACCCAGGCTGGAGAGTGCAATGGCACAGATCTCGGCTCACCCACAACCTCCCACCTCTCGGGTTCAAAGCAATTCCTCCCGCCTCAGCGCCTCTCCGAGTAGCTGGGATTACAGGCATTGCACCACCACACCCAGCGAATTTTGTATTTTTAGTAGAGACGGGGTTTCTCCATGTTGGTCAGGCTGGTCTCAAACTCCCGACCTCAGGTGATCTGCCCGCCTCGGCCTCCCAAAGTGCTGAGATTACAGATGTGAGCCATCACGCCCAGCCTTAATTTTTGTATTTTTAATAGAGATGGGGTTTCACCATGGTGGCCAGGCTGGTCTCGAACTCCTGACCTGAGGTAATCCGCCTGCCACAGCCTCCCACAGTGCTGGGATTACAGGCATGGCTATTAGCCTGGCCAAGTTAAGATTCTTGATGCCAACCACTCACCCACTCCATGTTTTTCAGGATTATAAACACTAGTTATAAAGCTTCAACTGGCTGGGGGTGGTGGCTCACGCCTGTAATCTCAGCAGTTTGGGAGGCTGAGGCAGGTGGATCACCTGAGGTCAGGAGTTCGAGACCAGCCTGACCAATATGGTGAAACCTCACCTCTACTAAAAATACCAAAATTAGCTGGGCGTGGTGGTGTGCACCTGTAACCCCAGCTACTTGGAGACAGGAGAATCGCTTGAACCTAGGAGGTGGAAGTTGCAGTGAGTCAAGATCGTGCCATTGTAGTCAAGCCTGGGTGACAGAGCAAGACTTCATCTCAAAAATATATAAATAAATAAAGCTCCAACTGTTTATTCCGCCTGTTCTCTGGGCAGGGCACTGTGCCGGCCCTTTTAAGGAAGGTCTTGTCTAACCCTCCCAGTGCCTGTGAGGTGAGTCCTGTTATGGCCTCCACTCTGCAGATGAAGAAAGTAACAGCACTTCCCCAGGAGGCGCGACTGGTTTGGGGTGAAGCTGGAGTTACCCTGAGCACAGCCTGACTCCAGGAGTCAGCTCCACGGCCTCTTCCTCTGAGACACGGTTTTCTCATCGGCCAGTGGGGCTCTGCCTGCTTCCTGAGGCTGTTAGAGGTTGGCAGGCCAGGTCGACAGAGGAAAGGGACCCGTCCTGTGCCTCAGAAGACACAGGCGAGGAGCAGGCATGCGGCCCCAGGGACCGTCTCTGAGGGAGGGTCCTGGGCCCCGGGCTGAGAAAGCAAGGGTGGAGGGCTCAGCGTGCAGACCCCAGGCTGGGAGCGACTCACCGAGCGTGGTGCTGGAGAAGGTGGAGCCATGGATGCCCGTGTGTCTGCCCAGCTCTGTCCTGGCCACGCCGGGGTGCAGGGCGTTGACAGTCACACCAGAGCCTGGGGAAGAAAGAGAAGACTGAGGGAGAGGTCCAGCCTCACCTGGAAGGCTGTGGCAGCCCACACCCAGCTGTGGGGCTTCTGGGCGCCAGGCTGCTTCCTACACTCAAACCCCGTCGTCCCTCTTGCTCTGAAATCTTAGTGGTCTTATCTTGCAGGTGGCTCTGCCACATGGCTGCTGGGAGCCGAGCTGTCCTGGAGCACTTGATAAACCCAGAACGCTGAGCTCACCCCAGGAATCCAAATCGGTGGGTGACGGTGGGATCTGAGATACCGTAACTCTGACCAGCTCCCACTGGGGCTGGCACCGCTGGTCCACAGACGGTCTTTCAGAAGCAAAGGCCCAGCACAGATTCCTCAACCTCAGCACTATGGATGCTGTGGATCGGGAGGAGTGAGGGGCCGTCCTGTGTGCTGTAGGACCTTGAGCAGCATCCGGGCCTTTACACTCCAGATGCCCAGAGCAATCTCTCCCCCACCCAGATGTGATCACTGTGTTTCCAGGCATTGACAACTGTGGGCCAGAACTGCCCCTGGTTGAGACTCACTGGCTGGAGCCAAAAGGCTGAGCTGCCTGCCCAGCAGCAGCAGGGAAGGACACCTGATCCAGGCAGACTAGACCACCTGGGATGAACAGACAATCGGCAGAAGAACAATCGATTAGTGATGTCTGCTTCAGGCACCAGAAGGGGGCAGGGTGGTCCGTGTGCTCTACTTTTGCGGATTCTGTTGTGGAGCCACAGCTTGGCCTCCCATCAGCCTAGGATCATGGAAGGGCTGCTCTAGGCTCAGAGTAAAGCAAGAGGGAGGCCGAGCCTAGCGCCCCGTACCTTGCAGCCGCCGGCTCAGCTCCTTGGTGAAGAGGACGATGGCCAGCTTGCTCTGGCAGTAGGCGGCTTTGGTGTCATACTTCCTCGTCTGCCAGTTCAAGTCATCAAAGTCTATGTGCCCAGCCACGTGGGCCAAGGACGAGAGGTTGATGATCCGCGAAGGGGCTGAGGCTTTCAGCTTGTCCAGCAGCAAGTTCGTCAAGAGAAAGTGACCTGGATTAAGGATGACAAAAAGGTCACTTTTGGCTCACGTCTAAAATCCCAGCACTTTGGGAGGACGACGGGGGAGGATCGCTTGAGCCCACGGGGCAGCCCCCTGCCCAGGCCTCACCCAGGTGGTTAACGCCAAACTGCATCTCGAAGCCGTCCTCAGTGGTCCAGTGGGGGCACCGCATCACGCCCGCGTTGTTGATTAGAATGTCCACTCGCTCCTCCTCTGGAAGGGAGGGATGGGGAAGGAGACATCAGGGTGAGGACAGACCCCAGCCTGAGGCAGCAGTAGAAACATTCCTGTGCTCCCAGAACCCGTGAACGTGGCCTGTGCCGGAAACAGGGTCTGTGCTGAAGTGGCCACATCAGGAAGAGGTCATTAGGGTGAGCCCTAATCCAGTGACTGGTGTCCTTATAGGAAGGGAAAACAGAGACAGAGACACACGGGGAGAAGGCCACATGTGGACAGAAGCGGAGACCGGAGAGGCACAGCTCCAAGATGAGTGTCGGCGCCCCCGCTGGAAGTGGAAGAGGCTGGGAGGATTACCGCCCGTCTCACAGGATCACAGCCACAGGGACACCGTGATTCAGACTGCCGGCTTCCGGACCCGTGAGGGAATGCATGTCTGAGGGTGTAAAGCCACTGGGTTTGAGGTACCTCGTTACAGCAGGCCCAGGACACTCACACCCCCTCCTTCTAAGCCTTGGGACTCTTTCCTGCAGGAGCCCCGAGGCCAAACGGGGTTACCGGTGCAAGCACTGGCACCGCAGGTTTGCAGGTGCGGTTTCATTCCGAAGCCTGCCACCTCACTCAGACAACCAAAGGGCACACAGATGGAGACTGCAGCCTGTTTCCTCAGCTGTAAAATGCGCTGAACCACAGGGCCTTCCTCCCTATATCGCTCAGCTCAGGTTCCATAACAAAGTGCCACAGACAGGTGGTTTAAAACCTCACAGACCTGGCCGGGCGCGGTGGCTCACGTCTGTAATCCCAGCACTTTGGGAGACCGAGGTGAGCGGATCACCTGAGGTCAGGAGTTTGAGACTAGCCTGACCCACATGGAGAAACGGCGTCTCTACTAAAAATACAAAATTAGCCGGAGACCATCCTGGCAACACGTGAAACCGTTTTCTCGCACAAATACGAAAAACAGTGGTCTCGTGGTGGCGGCCGTATTCCCAGCACTCGCGGAGGCTGAAAAAAAGGCAGGAGAGTGGCTGAACACCAGGAGGCGAAATTTGCAGTGACCGAGTCCGCGCCACGCACTCCAA